GTTTGCCGACGTATACCATAAAAACGTATCTATCCCGTTATGTGAAATTAAGTCTGTTTGCTTGCTTTTTGCACCAAGCATTGGCTCATTTATGAATCACCCAAGGTGATGGTAGAAAATGCCTAAGGCACTAAGTCCGCCTATGTACCCAAAGTGCTACAAGTTCAAATAAAAAAAAATGACACATTATATTCCCCAATCATAAGATAAACTATAATTAATCATTATACATGATAAAGAAGACAGACAAATAATAATTTATGGCAACACCGTCTCTAGAGAGTCAATTAAATTCATTAGCGAGCACAGATTATATTGCAGGGGTCGGGTAACAATGTTGCCATACCGAATAATTGTCGGCAAGTGACTAAGGACAAATTGGCGTGCTATTATGACTGTCTACCCCTTTTGTAAAATAAATCAATGTTTAGTGTTTAGTTTGCTAGATTTGTATAAGGTGTTCCAGTGTCATAGTAATAAATTAATGCAATTATAATAATCTGACGTTAATTATATTCAATACCTAAAAAAATACGAATAACTTCGCAGTACCTAGGTATTTGTTTATCCAAACTAATATTATAAATGCGAAAGTAACTCTGTCTGTCTGTCTTTTTTTCACGCCTAAACTACCGAACCGATTTCTGTGAAATTTGGTACAGATATAGTTTGGAACTTGAGAAAGGACATAGGATAGTTTTTATTATAACAAGAATCTGCAGGAAGTCAATATTACACGCGAACAGAGTCGCGGGCAAAAGCTAGTATCTAAATATTAAAAAGTATTTCCCTTTTTAATATTTATCTTACTTTTTTTTTTATTAGATATACTACTAGTTCCTTTAATAATATTTTAGGAGCTAAGTGAATAGTAGATTCTGCTGACAGGCCAGAGGGCCTATCATGACGTGTTACTGTTAAAGCGTGAATCTTCCGGGCGAGAAAGAGGGATGGAGCTATAAAATGTGTATACTACATATTTATATTATATTTTCCTCAAAAGACCACTACAGAATGAATGAACTTGCACGGTTCTCTCACATTATATTATTTTTACATTGTCTGGACTAGAAAAGAGACTGACCTCTGAGTTTGTTTCGGCATTTCTTCTCAGAGTAGTCAGAAAGGAAATGCCAGCTTCATCTAGTTTTTCACATATAAATTGACGTGTAAAAGTCCCGTTTTATGGCCTATTTGCAAAAATAAATTCATTGTTTCATTGTTACATAAATTAGCTGCCTATCACTGTGACATTATTATAAAGTTAAAAGTTATATTTGTTCTAGTATTACTAACCTTGAGTCAGGATTGAAACTCTCAGACAGTTCTTAACTATAGGAAAAGATGGAATTATTTGCAAATTAAATTAATTGATTTTCGAAAAAGACAACATTGAAAAAAAAATACTAATTTTAATCGCTATCATTGTCGGGCGGGACTGCCGCGCAAGGCAAATTAAGTTCATTTTTTTTACTTTGTATTTTGTACTTAAACAACTTAAAATTATACACATAAAACAAATTTTAAAGGAATTTTATTTTCATAAAAACCTTAAAAAGTTAAGATATTTTAGTAAAAGTTTAACCTTTAATTAAGTAAATTAACCCAAACGTTGTAATGTGGTGTGTCGACTAGTGACTCCCCGCGGGTTCGCGCCCTCTGACAGATTTATTGATACAAAAAATACGATGCTACTACTTTCTTTTGACGAAAGATTTTTGTGGATATGAAAAAAAAAATGCCTAAGTAGATTTACTTTAGTTTTAGGCTAAAATATCATACACATAGAACTTATATTTTTTACAATTTTAACTTACATAATTTAGGTACTGTAGTGGTAGCGAAATCTTGGATTTCAAATGTATTGTGTGTGTTTTCATAATAAGGTTGATTGCTCATTTTCGTGGTTTCGGGGATAGGGGAGGACTAGGTCTCCTATAATGTCAATCACATCACATGGTTGAAAATCACATTTAGGTACCTAAAATAATCTGTGAGCGACGAAAAAGTGGAAATAAGTTGTTATACCTCACTTTCCTGGCGTATCCTCTTGTTTCCAAAGATCCACCCTTCGTTATTGATTTAAAAAACCAACTTAGTAGCTATAATGAGGTGTCATGTAACAAAAAAAGTCCAAAATAAATACTCGAAATAGTTGAATTTTTATAAAGTTCTTCGTTCGAAAAAACATCTGTGGTATTCGCGGGAATATGTTTCGTTCACTTTTTGCCGCCAATTTGTCATATTTGTGTCAAATTTGACACTTTCGAACATTTTTGACAAAATGTGTTTTTTTTTTCGTTAAACCCAGCTGTGTTTTAATTATGTCGATAAACATTGATTATTATCTATCTTATTCTTCTTCTATAATTTAATGGCAAAATAACTTGATGTGTACCAACTTTTTTGCATAGGTAAGTAAATAAATTTCGCCTGGACTAATTTTGAAAATTAGTTTTTTGTTAGGAGAACGAAGAAAAAGTAGGGAAGGGAAAATTAGAAAACAGCGTTTCTTTCGACGTTAGTAACTTATATAATACCCATAGACAATATTTTAGAGTGACAGTACAATAATTGGCACAGTTGTTCAAAGAGTCCGCGTCCTCACGCCCACGTGAGAGACGGGACAACAAGGTGGTTTTAGTCAGTAAAAGTCTGACAGTCCCCTTCGTCTCCCCAGAATCTCCATGAGGATTTTCCACCTTGGGGCAAAATAAAAGTTGTTCAAAGAGTACATTGAATATACTGCAGTTGTTTTAGGGACAGGCTGCTGCGCAGTGTATAGGTTCGATTTTTTTGAGAAAACATTGTCTCGTACTTCTATTTATCCCTGTGTGGTTTACAAACATACAAATTCACATACACAAGCCACCCAGACCCAAAGCCACGCAGCCAAATTCGATCGATCTTTGAAATATGTTGCTTGCTTGCAAATATGCATGCTTATTCTGTGTGGAAAAGCATACGATTACGACACTTCGGTATTAGTCAGCTACATGAAAACTATATATATACTTATTTCTTTATAATATAGTTTTAGATATAAATACGAAATGAAACAATAGAAGAGGTACCACGCTTGACTCGCAAGCGACGTCGCGTGAAATGCAACTGTCATGTCATATTACTGACTGTCGTGTCTGCTATAAATAATTGTTTTGAAGATATCGTCTCTTTGATGACTTGTTGAAGAAATAACGCTTTGTTAAAACGTTGAAAAGTTGTTTTAGATGATTAATTATGAAGTAGGTATATTATTTTTATTTAATTAACAAGCGTCTTTTTGGTTATATTTTCTTTTTTTGACTTTCGAAGCTGATTGTCTGTTCTGTTAGCCCAACAAATTTTACACTTTCCCTTGTGTTGTGGGTGCATTTTTTACGTTTTTTGTAAACGCACGCACGACACAGGAGAAAATCCTAATGTGAAAAAACGTTTTTTTTTTTAAATAAAGTTAAAGAATACATAATTCGTGTCGAAACATGGCTTTGCCACACTCAACTTTTAAGAATTAAGATTTACAAGTTTAAACCCTCCTACGGCCCCCTCGGTCCATAATCATCTTTATGGGGCACTCAGTTCTTCTAAATTGTTCCTTATATGAGATTTTATGATCATGAAAAGAATTTATTTCAAATCTTTTTTTATGTTATAGGACAGTAAACGAGCAGACTGACAACATTACCCGATGGTAAGCGATCAGAGCCGCTCTTGGACACCCGCAACAATGGAGGAATTACGAGTGCGTTGCCGACCTTTTGAGGATTAGGGATTAGGAGATTTTGGGATTGGGGAGGCATTGGGGGAGGAAAGATTGGGCCTCCGGTAACCTCACTCACACGGCGAAACACAACGCTGTAGTTGTTTCACGTCGGTTTTCTGTGAGGCCGTGATAACTCCGGTTGAACCAACCCATTCGCGCCCAAACATGGCTCTCTTACACTTAAATCATAATTCCACTTATCTAAATTCCATTCCTAAATACATATCAGTGACAACTTAAAAAAAGCGTTACCTACCAAAGACAAATGTCAAACAAAAGCAATGAAAAGGCAGCCATTTTAATATCGGTACGGGTGCCATCTTGGATTCGTGTTACACTTCACATGAACGGTAGAATTTATGTGTCGATATATGATACCTGTTTATAGTCTGTCTTAGGTTACACGTGTGTACTGTCGTTATAGGTAGGGTAAGCAGTGGTATTCGTATGAAAATACTTTAGATATGATGGTATGAAGGTGAAAGTAATACAGATAAAAAATGGCGAGATGTAGTCATCTAAATAAGTTGCTATTTTTTTTTTAATTTAATCTATACCTTCTAATTTGTTCGATCGTGCTAATCTCAGAAACTACTGGTTTGAATGGAACAATTCTGTTTATGTTCGATAGCCCATTTATTGAGTAAAGCTATAGACTATAAAATGCTACGCTATGATCTGTAGGAGCGGAATAGTGGAAACCGCACGAGATTAGGTAGCAGATTGCTATATCGTATGTACCATCTGTGTCTAAAACATCAAGAAAATATTTTTGGCAATTCTCTTGACAAAAATACTGTTAGGTACTACTTAGTGCAAAAAGATAACCATGGCTTTAATAAGTTATCATGATCATCAACTGGACGAAGTCTAATGCTGAATACTTGTTCCTAAAAGTATAAAAATCGGTACTTTCCAACTAGTCAAATTCAATAGATACGAATACGAAAGAATGTCGAAAACGATACTTTTCTATGAACTTTTTGTCATATCGCAATATAGGTATGTTATAATGATTTTAGTTCAAATAACATACTTATTTCTATAATATTAATTATAATAAATCTAATATTAAGTATCTCGTCAAATCAATAAATGAGAATGTATGATTACCTATATAATAGTAACTCCTGGCATTGATAAATCATATTAATTTATTTTTGAACTAGGAATAGGTATAGAATATACCCAATTCGCTACAGATAAAATAACCTAAACTGCCCGTAAAATTCAGTAGGTAAGTTATGATGGAGGGACGATCTCCGGCCACCGTAAGCGCGGGTCTGCGGACGTCGAGTTAGGATTGCTCGCCGCCCAACCATATTCGGATACGAGCGGACGGCGCGTAGCGTTCCGCACGTTCCTCAAAGAGCCAATAGACCACCACAGACGGGGCCCTATAGAGCTGATGTTCAGCCAGGGTTGCGGGTTAAGCGCAATAAGTCACAGCGGCCTCGGCCCAGAGGAGGAGAAGGAATGGGAGTTTTTAGTCAGTAACAATCTGACATTGTCTCTCGCGTTACCCTGGGCGGGCATATGATGATTTTCAACTGACAAAAAAAGTAATGATGTAAAAATAATAATGTCGACGCAATTTCAAAATTCTAAGAATGTTCCAAATTCGAATGCGTATTTTTTCCAACGATTTTTATCTCATTCCGTTCATTCAATAGTGATGTGTAAATGTGAGATAATCCCGCGATTATTGTGAAGGTTCGATGGGCAAGTCGATTTTGTTGAGAGGTTTTATTAGGAATGCTACTGATATTTTTTTTGGTTACAATTTGTTATTTGAGTAAAATGTAGCTCATCATGCTTATTTTAAGTTTATGGAAATTATTTGAAAGAAAGAAGAAAACCATTTATTACGCCACGAAATATAACAAGAATACAGGCACACACACACAAAAAGCCCATAGTGCGTTGCAGCGCAAAAGGCTGGAGCTCAGCTTAATACTGTGGCCCGAGCACGATGGCATGAGTCCACGGCGCTGATTTTCAGCACCAGCCCGTAGTAGTACGTACTAATTATATATGTATAATACGGCAACGCTGTTCGGAGCACAAAATGATATTCGCACTCTATATTTCGTTTCTTATATTTTATTTTTACTGTAATGAAACAAGGGATTTGTCTTGATACAAACTCCAAGTTATGCGTTTAATATTTGTCGAAAACTTAATTTATTTAGGGCTGATTTTTCACTAGTCAGATAAATGTTATCTAAGGAATAAAATTGTTGCTGTCACTGTCTTATTCAAACATTCTGACGCGACAGCGTCATAATTATTCTACCGATAACTTTACCTAACCATTCTCAAAAATCCGCCCTTAGAAACATTAAAGCTTAGAAACAGTTCAGAAAAGAATTGAGTGAAAAAACCTAATTCCAAAATCAAACTGTGAAGTATATATAATTGGGTAGTTTCCTAGGTCAAAAATAAATTAATCCGACGTTTCAATACAATAAAATATTGAAAAATTACTATACTTTTATTCATCGATCGGTCGATACACTAAGTTTTAGATATTTTATAGCTAATTATTAAAAAATAAGTACGGTATTTGATGCAAAAATACTATGACGTCATAGCCTAGTTTTTCATACAAATTTCATAGAAAAGTGTCGTTTTTGACATTTAGATAAAAGTATTGAATTTGACTAGTTGGAAACTACCGTATTCTGAACAAAATCCCGCCAGCCTGGTCCAATTAAAAAGATTTCACGCCCTTCAACATTCGAACTTGGAATACAATAAACGTCCGAAAACGTCATGCTAAACTTTTTTTTTCTACGCTATTCAGTTAGGCAAAGGCGTGACGTCGTTAATCCTTAGTTAGGCCTGTTACACAATGACGCGGTTGACAAATGAACACCCCTATTGTTAGCGCAATAGATTTTTATAACAGATTATTTAGACATTCACTGGTAAACAGATGTTTTTAAATGGAGTAGATAATTATTTTTGCGATTATTTCAGAAATGAACTAGTCACTAGGAAATTTTGTGTATGTATTTGACAACTAAGAAGGTATGAACTAATGTATATTGTAAACAGTTTATGAATTACGAATCAGACTATGGAAGTCATGTTGGTCTGTAACTCATAATTTCGCCAACATATTTATCTTTGCGAGTGCTTTTAATGCTTGAAGTCTTTTTTAAAATTATAGTATAAATTTCATTCATTTGTTGAGTATCAAATAGGTAAGTCAAGTAGAATGACATACGTTGCAACATTTCCAATAATCTGAAGTAGCTAATTCTTTATTCAAAATCCTGTCACCATTCTTTTTTTCTTTTTTTTTTCTAATATCTTGATCCTGTTGGGCAAAAGCATGCGTTAATCCCGTATTACGAATGTTACGGACGCAACACAAAGCGTCTGAAGCCGCGGGTGCAAATGAACAGCGCTGTTGTGAACACTTGCGTCTGTCTGAGATAAGGGTTGGCGATTTCTATTTTTGAAATATTAATGTACTTAGGTTTTTTTATATTTGATAGTTCGAAAATAACTTTTATTGCTATTTTTTTAAACACGTTTCGATCTCTTTTGAAATATACTCACTGAATTGTTGAAATGCGATTTCGAATTTAAAAATCATTGCTAACCTATTTATTAAAAAGTTTGCTTGTTTTTATATAAATTCTGTAGTTGGATATAAGTTTTATTGTCAATCGAATTTTGGAGATATAAAGATTATGGAGCGGCGGGTGCAAGTAAAGGATTGGGTCTCTGGTAAACTCACACAGTGAAACACAACGCCGAGATTGTTTGACATCGGTTTTCTATGAGGCCGTGGTATCACTCCGATCGAGCCGATCCATAAGTACTTAATAACATATATCAAAAACAAACATGATTTTTGAAAACACTGTTATATTTTTCGATCAACAGACAGCCCTACACACTAAATCAACAACAATACACTTTAACATCGCTAAATCTAACGTTAACAATAAACTATTGCGCATTTGTACCCGGGACCCCGGGACCCCGGGGACGGGCCGACGGCTACATTGAGGACAACACTAGTATCAATAGACACGCCCTTACGTATTTGACATAATGAAGTGGCGGAAAAAAAGGATTACGATGACGTCATTGTCTATGCGTACTTGCATTTTGACCGCCTTATTTGTTGTTTTTTTTTTGATGAATTAAAATCATCATGATAAAGTGAGGGAGAGCCAAGCTTCGGCACGAATAGGTCGGCTCGACCGAAGTGATACCATGGCCAATATCAATAATAATACCAAGAAAACTGTGGCGTGAAACAACCACAGCGTTGTGTTTCGCCGTGTAAGTGAGGTTACCGGAGACCCAATCTCTCCCCCTCCCCCACTCCCCTTAAATATCCAAAACCCTTATCCCTAAAAGGCCAGCAAAGCACTCGTTACTCCTTTAGTCTTGCGGGCAGCGCTGATTGCTTACCATCAGGTAATGCGTTTGCTGGTTTGCCGTCTTATAACATAAAAAAACATCATATGACTTCTTTCGCCAAGGTAAAGGCGAAATCACTGACTTCCCCCTACTTGCGCACGACACGCGCCGCGTATGCGTAATCGAAGCCTAAGTAGCTAAAGAAACGGCTGTCGCATCCCATGAAATCTGTACCTTGTCGTGTAAAAAATAAAGTTGCTTATTAAGTCTCTCTTTTAAAGGGTGCGCTTTACTTTTTCTTATTTGGCCATTCTTAATTATTTTTCAAGGGTTAGTGTGAAGAGGCGAGGGAATATGTCAGACTCTTACGACTAAAAAATTCTCCGTTCTTTCTTCTGATCCAGGCTGCTTACATTCGATATCTCCAGCCACAACAAAGCGCGGGTCTGTGGTCGGCGAGTAAGGGCAGCTCGCCGCCCGACCAGAACCAGGCCCGAGCGTACGGCGCGTAGCGTTCCGCGCGCGCCTCAAAGAGCCAATAGACCACCACAGACGGGGTCCCATAGGCCTGATGTTCAGCCGGGGTTGCGAGGTAAGCGCAATGAGGCACCGCGACCTCGGCCCAGATCAGGAGTAGGAACAGGGGGTTTTTAGTCAGTAAGAGTCTGACACTCCCTTCCGTCCGACCCTGGGCGGGAGAAGTCATTTGATGATTTTCCCCTCACAAAAAAGGCTGCTTACATTGCGTTTGCAACCGTTACTTCGTAAGTTTGTATGTAGGGGATAACCTTTGGAACGGCTGGGCGGATTTCCAAAATTCTTGCACCAATAGATAGCTACAATGTTCCTAAATGCTATAGGCTATAAAACATCACGCTACGATCTGTAGGAGCCGAACAGCGAGTGAAACCGCGCGAGAGTAGCTAGTATAAAATAATTTTATTCAGACTAAGATAATAGAGAGCATACGAAATCTAAATCTGTGTAAGTATTCGTCCAGAGTTGCTGCACATACCTATGTAGTTATCAGGTCTTTTATTAAGTCCTACTAATAATTCTCTACGCATTTCACATGAAATGTGTGCTGTATTGTTGTCAGCAGTATTTCTGAATCGAAACGACCTTCTTAAGTGTGGGAGAGCCATCCTTCGGCACGAATGGGTCGGCTCGACCGGAGTGATACCACGGCCTCACAGAAAACCGTCGTGAAATAACCACTGCGTTGTGTTTCGCCGTGTGAGTGAGGTTACCGGAGGCCCAATCCTTCCCCTTCCCCAATTCCTCCTCAATCCCTAAATCTCCAAATCCGTAATCCCTTAAAGGTCGGCAACGCACTCTTAACTCCTCCGTTGCGAGTGTCCATGGGCGGCGCTGATTGCTTGCCATCAGGTAATCCGTCTGCTCGTTTGCCGACCTCTTACATAAAAAAAACCTTCAGGAACAGCGTACTCCTTCTTAAAAAGCTGGCAACGACCTTATAGCTTCTCTGGTGTGGAAAGTGTCCATCGACGGCGCTTACCGCTTACCATCAGTGATCCGTCTGCCAGTTTGCCTACTACTACATAAAAAACCTGCACCTACCAAAGGATTTGAAAGTATTAGAACTTTCGTGAGACATTCTTAATTAATTATTATGTTTTCGGCTTACTCACGTAATAATTTGACGAGATTCTCGACTAGTTTCCACGCCATGCTAGAGGCCCATATTCATGAGCAGCATTAGCAGTGCGACAGTCGCCGCGTCGCGTGTCGCGAAAACAATAATTGAATTCGATTTGAAAGTAAACTTCCTGTTAAGTCTTCGAATCGATTTTATCAAAATATGTAGGTAGTTCAAAACAGTGTACAGAATTCGCCAATATCACACCTGTACAATTAAAATGTAGAAAAAAATATCCATTTCCTAATTCCCTGGTGTCTATCATTAGTTCGATCACGTGGGAAGCATCGAAGTATCTATGAGTGAGGACAATCCTTTATCAGATCAGAAATCACAAAATGTTGGGGATTAGGACGGCGATGGGATTAAGATCGGGATAGTTAGATGTTTCCCTTGAATTCTGTTTAATCTTTTGAAAATAATGCGTTGTTTGTTGTAAATTGATATTTTGTTACATTATGTGATGCGAATGTACCTAGCTCTTTTTAAACAAC